GGCGAAGTTTCATGTAGCTACTATGAATATCGTCCTATCTACCTTTAACTGCACCTTATTGGTTCTTCATTCATTTCCCGTCGATTCAGGCTTCTCCAATTAAAAAAGTACGCAAAGTACATGGCAGACGATATTTTTTTTAATTGGAGAAGCCTCAATCGGGAAATAGCGAGCAGCTAATAAGGCACAGTTAGAGAGAGATAACACGACATTCGTAGTAACTGTCTCTCTCTAGTTGTATATGCTCAAAGGATTTTCTTATAAATGTATAACATATTTTCGGACAGAGGGAGTATCTGTTTCTGTTTATTAATAGCAATAAATAAATAAGCACTATGCAATTTAATTCATTCAAATTGAATCTACATATAACCAGTAGGGATGCTAATATTGTCGAAGAGCTTTCATAACTTTGTCTGGGAAGTTTAAAATTAGCCTAGTGCTTTGACATTTTGACCAGAAAATTGATTTCAAAGGAAAATTCCGTATTTCCTATTTCTCACAGTACAGATACATCGAACGACAATTATAAATACAATTCAATGTTCAATAAGTGTAAACGTCTATTTTTAATTAAAGATTTTTTACATGAAATCAAATTTCACTATCACTACTTTTTCCTTTTTACCAATACTGCATATCGATCGGTTTATTTTCTGTTGCACTAATTTTAGAAAATTCCCCTTTTTGCGTAGGTGTAACAATTTACACTTAACACGCTAACGTCATTTTCTGAGATTAACGACCCCGAGGCTTTCGGTTTTAGTTTTCAGAAGAGGCGATTACGAAAAATATTATTAACCGAGTTCACCTTTCCTATTTCCAGCGGCTTGGAATCGAATTTTTCTCAACTACTCTATTTGCAAATCGACTCGGCGAAAGTTGGCAGGAAACTATTCAATCACGATCCATCGTAGCCCCGTGTAGGTTCGGTTCGACGAATCCTTGAAACTACTGCCTATATACCGGGCACGTGAAACGATATACGTTACGAATATAATTTTAACTACACGTTATTGCGATGTAAACTTCGGCGCTGCTCTGCCGTTCTATCTCAGTTCGTGCTTGCACGCTCGCCGTGGAAGGACCTGCAATATCACTCAGGGAACAGTCGCTGTTCTTTATCCGTGTTCTTTCTCGGTTTTTTAATTTTAACCTTTGAGTAGGCTGTGAAATGTGATGACTTCGGACCCGTTCCACGTGGCATGGGATGCGGTAGGTCGCGCCAAGACGCTTCGACCTCCGGCGGGAACATCCAAGATCGACCAATACAGGTCCACGTTATGTTCGGTACGGAAATCTTATTTAAAATTGTCGTCTCCACACGATCACGATTTTCGATACATTCCTTAAAAACAATTATAACAACGACTACTTGCTTGGCATATATAGAGCACATGCTATTCTCCAAGATCTTCGTCACGATGCAATTTAGCAATTGCGAACGTTACTTTATACTTGCAGCATGGAAATTGATAGGGATCATTTAAAGGTCAATGAGATTTAGGTATAAGATAACAGGAGAGATTCACTCATCTGTATAGAAAATGGTATAATTTTTTATAAACAGTA